CTTCAGCTGCGGGTGAGACCGAGTACCGTCAGCATGTGGGAAGATGACGTCAGTCAAGGGAATATTATTTGGGCCAGAACGTTTCGCTGTTCCCAAGCTCAACCCACTTCTTGAGCTGCAGGTGGTACCTGGTGACGCCAGCATGGGAAGAGATGACGTCAGTCAAAGGAAAATCGCATCTCGGTTGAAACGTCTTGCTATTGCCCAGCTTGACCCATTTCTCGGCTGGGGAGATTACGTCATGAAGGAAAAAGGGTGCCTTCGTCAAGAGGCCGATTGCGGAAGGATAAATCTTGGTTCAACATTGGCATCGCACAAGTCGGCGAGAGCCTGATCAGGGAAGCCTGAAAGGCTTTGCACTTTCGAATTGACTGATGGTGTGTTGAGACCCCATTAAGAGGGGAGCAAGGACCCTAGGGAAAGCAAGACGGTCCATCCCCGCTTTAGGGATCAATATGAAAAAGGCCGTTCTGCACCACCCGCAGTCCGCCCGACAGCTCACTCATCCAGCAACCAAGCTGCTGCCAAAACGGGTCCAGTCCCCAAGTAATCGTAACCAAGACAGCGGGTAAACTCACCCGAAGATCTCGGCGGATGGTTCCGTGTAGGGGTTGAATGCGGGCTTGAAGCGAATCTCGTTCATTCCTGCAACCAAACAAAGCTGCGCTCAGCGACTGACAGCGGTTCAGCGGTCGATCCGAGAGGGATCAATCCCTCTGCAAACATCACCGCTACTGGTCTTTGCAAACTGCTGCTCTCTTCTGAAGGCGGCCGGACCATTGTGGAGTGTGCATCTGTGCACCTCAACAATCTTGATCTTGGATTGATGATAGCTTACAGCGGAAAGTCTGCGCTTTCACACAATCGATATGGACAGATTCAACAATCTGCTGCACGGCTGAAACAAGGCAGCGGTTAAGCATGGCCCTGCAACCCAACCGAACAGAAAAGCACCCAGACAAAAAAAGCGCCACGACCTCTACTCGAGCACGACTACCTACTCAATAGCTCAAGAAACTGGTCTAAAGAGGGCCAGTCGGTCAAGAACCAGTCAGGTTCCTGGTTGGTGAGCCTTGACAAAATATTCTGAACTCAAGCGACCTGAACAGATCTCCACCGCTTACCTACTCCAAGGAACCAAAGACTGCAGTGATCGAAGCACAACTCTCCATCTAGAAATTTTGACGTAGGAAAGAGTCAACTTTACGAAGCCAATGGAAATCCACACGACCCAACCCACGACACATACAACGAAACACCGAAGACCTTGAACCACGAAACCCCCAACACCTACCTAGCCGGCTGAAGAACTGTTCTATGGTCCCTAGAAGGTCGCCTAGCGTGACTCCCCGGTCGCAGATGAGCCCCTCGATCTGGTGGAACTCCGCCAGATGCGTCCGGTCGACGGCTTCGTTTCGGAACACGCGGTCTATTGAGAAGTACTTTTTAGGCTTGAAGCCGTCCTGTTACCAGAAAAAATCTAGTGATGAGTAGAGTCCCTGAGTTGGTGGAACTCTGTAAGACACGTCTGGTCGATGGAGTCTGCTGGGAATCACCTTCTGGAGAGCGACTACAGAGCGGGGAACGAAAATATCTTTTGTTTCAAAGGGGGATAGACCTTCTAAGAGCGACCCCAGAGGACACTCGGAAAGACGCGGTCTGCCAGAAAGTGACGTCTAAGCTGAAGATTTGGTAGGAATGTTTCTGTCTTCCATATCTCATGCCAAAGAAGAAAAGATTGGAAAAGCGGAGAATTATGTTGGACGCTGCACCAGGAAGGCGTGGTTTGGTGAAGCACTACTCCAGGCTAAAAGCTGTTCTGCCGGAAAGAAGCATGTAGGACATCAATGCGCCCGCCACGTAGTCTCAGTCAAGTTCACAGTCTCAACTTGCTTTACAGGCTGATTGCAACTGAGGTCTTACTAAACTTAGTCACACGAACGGAGACTTTACATAGGATACAACATAGAGGAATATGGTCGCATCCTACAACCATGTTGACAACTTTGACGCATGAGCTGACTGCAAGCACGACCACACACGGTTACGAAGGACATCCGGACGTGCCCTTGCCTGCGCGAGCTTGTAGAGCATCCGGGAGGAGACGGCGGTCGTGTGCGTGCGCAGCAAGTTCTTAGCAGCTTCCGAGTACTGCCAATCGTAGCCGTACCTGAACCAGGACGGATTCTCAGTTGGGTAAATCTAGATCACTTGGGAGCAGCGTGCCTTAAAACCAATTTGACGTTTGGGGTCAGCGTGGAGGTTTGGGTGAGTTGGGGTGCGGAGTGCGCAAAGATCTGGGTTAGGAACTTTGCGTGGGGTCTATGGATTTAGGGCACATGGCTGTTGGGATACATAAAACTTACCAGCCTTGGATTCGCTCGTTCAAATAAACGTTCCAGGAAACAACCATTTACAGAGGGATCGTGTACTTATTCGACTTTGTTCCACCTTTGTTGACGGCAGTTTCGTTGAGCTGAGTGGAGGAACAGAAACAATCCTGTTCGCCAAAGGTGCCGGAAAGTAAACAGGCCGCGACACAGACCAATATGTGCTTGCCCTCGTCTTGGCTGCAATAAAGCTTGACCAGTCGTGCAGTTCGCGAAACCTTCCTTTGACGCGCAATCCCCCCAGGAGAAGCCACCCAAAACCGCCTTTTTAACTCCGGTGAAATGAAAGCGGATTTGGTCGAATGAAACAGAGAACGACCAAGCTGAGAGTGCTATAAGAACCGACCAGCGTACTTGTGAATCTGCGTCACGATGCTTTCAGGATTGGGAAAAAAAAAACCAAGAAGGGAAGATCAGCCACGGAAGTCCTGAAATCGGTAAAAATTCAAGATCAGACGCGCTTACCCAAGGGAGCCACCCCCTCCGTGTTCGTGCATCTCTTTCACGCGCTTCATGTAATCCTCCGGTACTGACCGGCACTTCTCAGGGGCTGCAGACGACACGAAGACGGGGTTTTGATATTCTAAGAATCTCGTTCCCCTTCCTTTCTGCTGGTTCTTTAGGCCGTGCTTCCAGGCGAAGTCGACCAGGGGCTTCCGAGAACAAAGTGCTCCTAAGGAGGGGCAAGTCCGCGGACAGACTACACAAACAGCCGAAGAATAGACACGAAGCAAGCTAAATCAACCTCTTTCTTGGGCGCGGCAACATAACTTACTGCGGGAGTGTGCCGATGCAATCTATGCTAGGTATTCCAGTTCTTTTCATGGACCATTCAATCCTCGACAATTAATCCTCCGTCAGTGAGACTCCACGAAAACAGGGCCGAAGTATTGAGATTCCGGGGCTCACCTTTTAAGAAGAAGGTGTCGTGCGAGTCCCTGGCGGGATGCTGTTGAGGTTGGAAGAGGGCGTCGAAGTTCCAGAAGCTGTGGGCGTTGCACAAAATAAGTATCAGAGTGCGATCGTTCAAATCGGGAAAATATACCTGGGGATAAACATTTCCTCCCATTCTCTTAGTGATCATTTTCGTCGGTTGCCTGTTCCTCTATATTTGAAGGGAACCGTGTGTAAGCAAGCTCTGGGGGTTTCAAGTACGTCCTTCGATCCGCATTACATATACGTGAACATCTCTTGTCGATTGAGAGCCTGACTTCAAACCTTCACAGGACCACTGACAGGACCCCTTCGTTTTAAACTATGCTGGCAGGTTTTTCAGCGCCCTGTTCCCAGCGCTAAGAATGGTATGGAGTTTACCATACTGAAAACATTCCACTCACCTGCTTTCGACGAAGTTGTTCGTTGGCATCTCCTCGAATCTGCATCACAAACATAGGCCCAGCGTTCAGACGGGAATCGCGAAGAGGGGGAAGGAAGAAAATGCATTTGAGGTAGCTTTTGATAGGGGTATTGAAAGAGTGAAGGCCATGGCTGTAGCACATCATTCCCGCTGTGTTGAAACAAACTGTTCGTCCCTCTTGCGATCTAAGTAAAGACACAGGGAATAAATGAAGAAGGAATGGCCACCATTTGCAGCCATGCAACTTCAGCTAGCTCTTATAAACGGTCTGCCCGCTGGGAGACAAGGACTCTCAGGAAAGTACTCAAGTTGCGCGCTCATTGAAGAGCACATCGTTCCGCATGACAATCAACGGCAGACGGTCCGCCGCTTTCCTGACTCACCCCATTTGAAGGAAGATCTTCCGAAACTGGGCTCGTACCTGCGGAACAGCTTCCAATCAGCAGATGCCCTAGGAAAGATTCAGCCCGGTTGAAATTGGCGTAAAGCTAAGGCATCCGGCAATCGGAGCTGCCAAGGGCCTAGACTCTGAGGCAGTTTGAACACGATTGGCAGAAATGTCCCGGGGAGACACTTGTGCAGGAGCGCTCAAAATCATGCATCGCAGGATAGTCGTATCAGCGCAAGTTTTAAGTTTTACGGCGGCATGTGCTACACTTGTCCATTCGGATTCATCTTGCCAACGCGTATTGGCTAATCTGAGGTACACCGCTCTCATTCACTACGCTCCGAGAGTACATAGAAGAATTCGCATAGGCTTAACATGTACCGACACCAGAAGTTTGCAGACTGAACAGCGGCTCACTTTGAGGAGGGGGTGAAGGGAGCCTCCGGAAGGGGGGAGGCCGAGAGCGGCGAAGTTGTAGTCCTTGAAAGTGGCACCTTTCCACGCCTTGCTGTAACAAACGAATGACAAACGGGCTGTCAAAGTCCGCTTTGCAAAACATTGGGAACGAGAGGCTCAGAATAAGCTTTCGGCTGCGACAAAGATTGAACATAACCAATCAGGCCGGCAGCATAGCTGAAGGGTGACGCAATCGCACGTCAGCCATACTGATATGATTCAGTCAAAGAATGAGCGATCTTCCTGGGGCTTTTTGAAGAGAGTTTGGCGGACAGGGTGCAAAGAAACACGCTTTCTGCACTTCGAACGTACTACGGTAGGCGGATTTGTTGGCAATCAGGAACCGTACATGCCACTCTCGTGGACGGTTTATTCGGCCCAAGTGAACGACTCGGAATCACCGTCTCCCACGGCGACTGCGGCTCCGCGCATCGCAGACACCAACGCCCAACTTTGACGTTTTCTTCGCGACCTCCCACTTCAGCAGTCATAGCGCCTCGCTTGCCCCCCAGATCTTTCGCGGCACAGCTACTGTAGCTTTGTCACTTATACACGGAGATGAATCTTGCAATGACGGGCGCCATGCCAAAACGCAACCTTAAGAAGGCGCCAGCTGATGTGAATCTTTACAAAACCTGGGTCAGAACGAAGTGCGCACCGACCGCTCACCTGTCCATCATCTCTTTGGTCATGTCAGTCAGCGCCTTGGTCCGCTTCAGCGCAAACTTGGGGCCCTTGCTGATCACGAAGCTCTTGAATGTCCTGCAAAACAGGGGCTCGCTCATTTTTCGGACGCTTTACGTAAGCCCATGGACAGACCTCCGGGAGACAGGACAGGAACAGGACAGGCTCCGAGCATCGGTCGCTGACGAACGGGTTGGAAAGATTCCAGCATTCTTGTGTGAATACAACCGAGCTGCGATGGACTTAAGAATTTGTAATCTTTCGAAACCGGGCGGAGCACTCCTCGCTCGGCTCCGCCTGGTGCAGTTTTCAACAGAGGTCTGTTACGCTCGGCTGCTGGAGATATAGTTGCCAGCGAGGTGCAAGGGTGACGATATGACGACTGCAGCAACACCCGTATCAGTCACGAGTGATCCTTCAGCAACGAAATTGATGATATTTGATCCTCAGAGCAAAGGGGATCACTGCACCTTGGATACACGTTCGTTCAAGGTTCAAACCTCCCACTGAATTGCTGCCCCGTATCCACCGTAAACAGCAACGAAGCACGAAAGACAGAGCAGACAGAGGAAGAGGCTCTGCGGCGGAATGCTTACACCAATTCGACGAGCTTCCGCGACTGGAGCGCTTTCAGGTCCTTCTCCGAAAGTTCCTGTGTGCCGCAACAATTACTTCCATGTCAATTTCTAGTCTTCACTCGGGCTTTAGTACAGACAGTTCAGCGTGTGCTTAGGCGGCTGAAAAAGCACACGGGACATATCGTGAACACTAGCTGAGGCCGCCAAGGACAGCAGGGCTTCTTGGAAGAACAATTTGTGTGCAACTCGGCCGGTTGCCCCCAAGTCAGCCAGCCCAAGCTGATCTTGCCGCTTTTTTAGGCGACCAAGAACTTTCGCTTTCGTGATTCGTGACTTTCACTCGTTCTCTCTCACCCCTCACAATACGAACAACCCCACAATACTTATTACAATGCAAGCTTCTTCGACTACTCGCGTTGTTACAGCAATACCAGCTTTAGAAGTATGACAAGATTGTTTACCTTTCCCTCCGCAACAGATTGCAGCTGCTTCTGTACGATGTCGTCAATCGTGGCGACCTGCAAAGAAGGTGTGCGTCAGTATAATAGCCACGCCGTCACTTCTCCAGGATCTTTATTCTAAGACCGACAGCCATCAACAAGAAGCCAACCAGCTTACTGGCATCTGCATTTTCTTGCTTGCTGCCTATGCCTAAGCAAGTGAGTATGTTTGTCCTGAAAGTTTGCAGAGCCACACGGAAGTCAAAAACTCACTTTCCGCTTGACGATCTGTGGCTTGGGGGGAGCCTTTGCCCCTTTCTCCTTCTTCGCTTCCTTCTTCTCCTCAGGGGCTCCCTCCGGTTTCTTCTCCTTTTCCACCTCTAGCCACCGCTCTTTCATTGCTCGGTTGAAGCCAATGGTCACCAGATCCTTGTTCAGCTTGGCCTACATTTAAAGGTAGTCGCTTTCATTATCATCAGGGCTTTGACCGGCTAAAGGAGGGCGGGCGGCAACAGGGTGCGCAGAAAAGTGCTGGGGGCAATAACTGGGCCGGGGGCCAGGTCCCAGAACGCTGGGTGTTTAACGCAGCAGGTTGAAGCAGGGGGCTTTGCAAGCAGCCGCCATGATCCCATCCAATAAAATGAATCTTAAGTGGCGTGCGCGGTTTCTTACTATTTGATTGCCTCTACATAGTGCGAAGGACAGACTGATAAATGTCACAGGTATCCGCTGAAAGATCCTCTATGGTTTACAGACTGCAGGACCGACAATAGGGACTTGCCCTGCTTTGAAGTACCCTAGAACCAACTCATTGATGCTGTTGATTTTGAGAGGATACTTGATTGTAAACTTAACAAGTGGGTCTCCGCAGGAACTATCAGGAACTATGCTGTTTACTCAGAAGATGCAATTGAACTCTCGAATCGTACCTGGTCCGCACGACACATATCCTGAAGATTTGAGGCCTTCCTGAATTATCAAATGTGGTCCCTTCTCTTGAGCCCGATTCGTTCGTGAATATTCCATCATGTGACAAGTACAATAGTCGCTGGATCGCCACTGCTCAACACTGCGAAGCTTCTCATGCAATCGTTGACAGCGGGCACCAATTGAAACAGTCAAGGTTGAAGCTACAAATGCATAACTTCTGGAAGAGCAACAACTGCTCGACCAAGCTAACAAAGCTGCGGTCTAAGCAATTCACCTCAATCTCCTCCCTGGAGATTGTCCCTTGCTCCGGAACTGCATGGAAAAGCTGCGCCTCCGGAGTCCCATCCTTCGCATACTGCTGGCCTTCTGCAGTCAGCTCCCAACGGGTGTGCGCCACCGTCTGATGATTGAGAAAGCTGACGTCAGCTTCCTGATAGTGTTTCGTTGGCAACAACATTGGCACATTAATGTGGCTCAACACTCTGATGACAGAAAGCATCTAGAAATCTGATCAAAGGAGAACTTTGACAATGAGAAGCATCGCGATCAATCACAAGTTTCTGTTAGCTTGCACAAGTGCGCACGGAAGTAAGTATTTGCTTTAATTAAGTTTGGAACCCAATCCGCCGGGAATTCTCGTCTTGAATCATTCATGGAAGTAACACACGCGCATTGCACACCTGATTTAATCCACTGTGCAACCACCATTACCAAAAGCCTTCCAGCGCGTTCTACCTACTGATCCCAATCCTTCGCATACTCTCTTGCAGACAGCATTGTCCAATTCTTATGCAAGTTTCGCATATGTTTTAAAATTGCAGACACCACCCTTCGCAGAAGCCCTGTCGTAAATGCACCATGCCAAATACACCAGGACAACGTCTTTGCACTTCTTCATTCAAGTCAACCCGCACTGACCTTTGTTGTGATCAGCTCGTAAGCAAGCAAGCTCTTGATGGTGTCCCCCAGCACCTTGTCATGGTTCACCCCAATAGACTCAGCAAACTTTCTGGAGTCCTCAATCTCGCCCTGCTTATCCACTTGCTGCAACAGCTGATCTTCGACATCCTCAGCAGCAGCCATGGCTGTCAGACGCCCGATGCTTTTCGACAACCTCGGCTTGCAACACAGCTTGCCAACCTCCAACACTCCAACTTCCAAGTCGTTGCAAGAAATTTATGCTCCTTTCCAGGCTTCAGATTCTTGACTGAAGAAAGGCGTAGAGAGATCGAGGAAGGAGGACATACCTACGGTAAATTCCTTCTAAAGCAGCCCGCCGGTTCTTTTGGACGTCGCGAACGGGTGCGTAACCGTTGCCTTCTGGGTCGACTAGAACTGACACTGTTGTCTGTTTGGAGCGTGTGGACTTATTTGGTGTTAAGAACTGGACCCGTGACGGTTATACATTGGCTGGCTTCGGACCTTCGAGCGCCCTGGATATAGGTGCAAAAGAATCTACGATGTGATACTGAACTTCGCCAAGGATGCCGGAAGCGCGGAACGAAGTACCGAGCTGAGCTACCGGGTAGCCGGATGGCTTTTGGACGGGGTATAGTGGTCGGTTTGCTTTCTTAAGAGTCTACCGGGAGGTCAATCAAACTAATTGTACCGATTGGTAAAATTACGGTAACTGATGGCGACGAATTCTCTTTCATCCACCGTGCCCTGAGTTGTAAAGTCCGGCGACAGAGGGATACCCATATTGGCGTGGAAAGGTCGCTCAATTGAGACCTCCCGGTAAGACACTTTCGACGGCCTTGCCAAACGCCCGTAGATTCAGTTCGATAAAGTGCTGTACGTGCTACCGTAGTCCAAAGTGATGATTCCGAACGATTTTAATTGGAATTATTTTCCGACAATCCGACCAGAAAAGTGGATTTATTTATGCTGATTCCGACAAGAATCCGAATGCCCTATGCTCTCACTAGGAAAGGGGATTTTCAGGCCGAGTTTGGCCGTTTTCGGGCTTCCGAAGACCATTTCAGAAATAATTAATCTTTCCGGATTTCCACTTTCCGAATGTAAAATCCGAATTTTCGGTTTTCCGAATGCAAATAATTATTTATTTATTCGGAATCATTACCTTGGACTACGGTAATCCGTCAAAAGATTCTGCCGCACTTGCCCGCGCTCCCGTCACCAAATTCACCGGTTTCGACGATAAACGGCCTTTTATGTAGAAACAGGGCAATATTCTAGGTATGGCGTGTGCTGAGAAGTTCAGTAATGACGAAAATTTCCATAGTACATACAGTACAGCAGAACCGCCTTCATGTCCTGGGCATTGCGAGGCCATTTGCTGGCCATTGAAATTGCAGGGGGAGCGGATTGTTGAACTCGACGAGAGCCGCATCTGCCATCCAGCTGTGGGAAGAGCGTGTGCGTTGCCTGTCACGGAATCCTGATGAGCCATTGAGATCCAGACTGTTGGTTGTTCCTGGAAGTGCGTCACGCATTTTGACCTTCTCCCACTGCAAGCAGCAAAGCTCTGGCAACCAACATGGCACCAGAGTTGACGCTGCTCTTCTCCTCTGGGGACACGGCCGCCCTCCCTGCGCTAGTTGCCGCGTCAGCGTGCGGCGTCACTCTGAAGCACGCCCCATTGGACAAGAGCAGCAACGCGCTGCTAACCTCAGCGGCGCCCTTTGCTGATGCCACCTCGGTGTTGCTGACAGGGCCTGAGGGACTTGTGCTCTATGAGCCAATTGCCATCGCGCGATACATTGCAAGTTTGACCACCGGTAAGGGAGCGTGCTTTACGGGTCACTTTTATAGCAGACACTTCAATATGTCTCAGGATTTTGGTGGTTGTACTGAGGTTGATGTTGGTCTGATACTTTGCGGGGGTCTGATTCTGAGTGGTGCTTGCTCGGGCTTTTGACTGAACCAGTGATAATATGAGAATTGAATCAAGGGTGGTTGCAGAGATGTTTAGACATTCTGCGCTGTGGAGACAGTTAAGTTCAAGGTGTCTGATTTCACTGTTCGATCATGGTCATCGCTCCACTTTCTACATACTCTTAAATCGGTTAGACAGGCCTCTCAGAGTACCCGAGGAAATGGTTGCACGCTATGCGCAACTATCATCCAAACATATGCATAGACGGTTGCTCTTTCATGGTTTGAACTTGTCACCTATGGACCCACTGTGCAGGTCGTACAGCAATCGCTTACTGGGACATTCTATTGTCGTGCTACAGGGTCCACTTTGAACATCTCTGCAGGCGCCAATTTCCACTTGTTTCTGCCCTGTATCATCAGGCAATCTTTTGATCAGTCTCAGCACGAGCGTAGAGCGTAGATTGAGAGCTGACTGCTTATCTTTTATGCAGGCCCCTTTCTGCCTGCTTATGGAGCCCCCCACCACCTGGCGGTTGAGAAATGGCTGGAGTGGACAGAGACCACTTTGCATCCGGCCGTCGTTTCCGCAGGCAAGCCATTCATGTCACAAGGATACCTATCTTTCTTTATGGACCTTTGTGCAAGACACTCTCTGTTCACCTTCCCCCGTGCTGCCTGAACGGCGCCCTTTGAAACACTCATAGGGAGGAGACGTGTTGAGTAGCTGCTAAGATTGCCTCCATTTTCATTTTAAGCAATCACGAAATCCTTGTCCACCCGTCTACCAAAGTCTTGGCAGAGACGGTGAAGAAATGGTGAGTACTGTTGGCGAGCGAACTGCCTTCCAGAACATTCTGGCCCACTTGCCGTACAAATTTTGCTTTCTCTCGCTGTCAGCGCCGTTAAGGATTTCCATTGTCCATGTTTGCAGCCCTTTCAAACAAATTGTCTGTTCCTGGACTCCGTCCAGATTTTACTATGAAGTCACCCTTTTCTACCAGATGCAGGCTTATCTATTCAAGTATTCGTACTTTCGTCTAGCTGACGGTCCGACTCTCCGACTCCAATCGGTCTTGAGGTTTAATCTGCTGACCATGTTAGGCTTGGCACCGTAAGATGAGAGTCGGCAAGCTGGAATTGTTCGAAGCTGATGTCGAGTTTCAATACAAATAATGTTTGGAGTACGTGATGGTTTGCAGCTTCAATGCTCTTCTCCATGTCCGCAGTCTTCTCTGGCAAGCCGTTCGAAATGAGTATTAGTTCAATAGTTGTCCGAAGTTCTGTACTCAGTTTCCGCCCTGTTTCTATTTGTCCGCAGTTTCCTCCGGCAAGCCGTCCGAGCTTCCGTCCGACCTGATGGACCAACTAGAGCAGGGCGCCAAGGGCTCCGAGGGGAAGGAGCTGACGCTGGCTGACGTGGCAGTGTTCTGGCGGCTGATCCCCGTGCTTGGTGGCGCTGACGCAAGGCCATCCAAAGTCGCTGAGTGGTTTGGGTGAGCGCTGGAGGCATATCTCATACAATTTTGAGATGTGAATGCCCCTCGTTTTGGTAGCAAATTGTCGGGTATTTGGGTGCTTTCAAAGAGAGGTGGATGGTATGCCGTCCCTTCGATGTGGGAAACGTGTTGCAAACACGTCAAAAGGGGCCGAACGAGTCAGGTAACGAGCGGGGCGTCTGGTTTGTTTTGTGAAGGCTAATCACTCGTTGAGGCGCTGTTGATTAGCAAACTCTTATTCCTGCCAGTAAATTAGATTCTTTGAGTGGTGCGTCAGAAGCCAATACGCGTCCCATCTGATAGTCAGATTCTTGTGGGTGATGACGCTCAAAAGACACCCCCATCTGAGGCACTGTTAAAACGAGAGTCCCTGGAATTGGGAGCAGATATCTGCATCGCTGCGAAAAGAATGGTTCTGCTCTTTCTCTGCCGTGCTCCTTCTGCAAAGGCGCTATGCGGGGGGTTCTGTTTCTGCCACGACTTAGACAAAACATCATTTGAAAGGTTCACTTCTCTTCCATGAAGTTTCTTCCTTTTGACCTTAACCTGATTCTTGTCCCTTTCATCGGTGGCTCCCATCGAACTGAACGAGACTGATTGACCGCACTGGAATCCTAACGATCCCTGAAGTAGAATTCCCCTCTTCCAGGACCCTGGTCGCCTCCAAACACGTCGCCTCCGCCATTAAAAGCATCCTTGGGGACCAAAACCCCCAAACCCTCGCCGACCAATCCCGCAAGGCCATCTCCGCTTCCGTTACCGCAGCATCCGCCAAACCCAAACCCTCCAAGTCCCAAACCCCAGCCGAGAAGCCCGCCGCTTCAAAACCCTCGAAGCCCGCCCCTGCAAACGCGAGCGATTCGAAAATTGCTGCAAAGGCGGGATCGAAGGGCCCTGTAAAAGCGGAGGCGGCGGTCAAGCCAGTGGTGATCACGGACCCGGGGTCGCCGTACCTGGAGGTGACAGGGCCTCCAAGGGCACCGGTGAAGGGGAAGCGGAACGTTCTTGTGACGAGCGCGCTGCCGTACGTGAACAACGTACCACATCTCGGGAACATCATTGGATGTGAGTTGGAAGCACGGCGGTTTGTATCCATATTGGGGATTTGGGTTGTTTCAAGCAACAACAATGTAGCGGACGAGCTTGTTGGGATTGAGGAACAGCTTCAAGGGTTCCAAAGAAAACTGGCCTGATGTGAACCGCAGCTGTTCTTGTCCACTTTTCACTCAAATGCGCACGTGTATCCAAACGTTACTTGAAGTTTCAAAGCCAGGTTCGTGTATCGGTCTGTCATCAACGAGAAGAAACTGCGTAGGCCACAGCCAGCAATACTTTACTTCCTTCATTGGCCGGACCTGCTGTTAAGAGGGCCTTCCCCTCGATATCTGGATGATGCAAAGTCGTCTCTATGACCGTCTTCTTCTGAATAGCGATACTGCGAAGCAATACTAAAAAGAGGGTCACTGTTGCATTTCTTTGCTTCTGCAGCCGTGTTGAGTGCTGACGTGTACGCCCGATACTGCCGGCGGCGTGGGTACAACGTTATTTACATGTGCGGCACGGACGAGTACGGAACCGCTACCGAGAACAAGGCGCTCGAGGAGGGCCTGACGCCGCGCGAGATCTGCGATAAGTGAGTGCGGGACATGCAGAGATTTGCGGATTACAATCTTTTGGACTACTGCGCTTGTCCTTATTTCATTCTCCGGCCTCGATCGCAGAACCGCTCCTTTACAGGGTTGTGAACACATTCTTTCTTCTCTGACAAGTGCGCAGTGAAACCACTTGAAGACGACATCTTCGGTCTCTTGTGACGAATAAGCCCTATTGGTGAAAAGCCTCACAGCTCGGTAACCTGACTTCCGGTTCCTCAATGTTCTGCGTGTACAATTTTGTTGGGATCTTATTGAGCCGTTATGTGAGACGCTCTGGCTTGCTTGGTTCCGTTCCGGATTATCGGCATCTGCATTAAGGTACAGATGCTCTCTCGAAGCAGATTAGATTAAGTCTAAACTTTATGGTACTGGATCCGTTAAAACCCGGTTATGCAGAATGTTCTGCGGATGCTTCTGTGGTTGCACGTTGGTCAAGGCTCGTCGGAGAGCCCTTGCGGATGAGGCGTTCACTTGTATTTACAACGCCAATCCCTAACAATCCACCACTGCAGAAATTGAGGCGTCGAAGGCTTGTTCTCAGAGGACGGACTTTTGGTATTCTGCGACTGAGGCCCTCGCTCTAAACTTTGACCCAGGCGTTGACTCACGACGCCCCCATGAACTCTTGACTTTCGTAACGTTTTGTGCCCGACTCATCTGCAATTAGTATTCGGTGTCAAAGCGTCCCGTTTCCTTTACCAGGTATCACGTGACCCACCGAGACATCTACAATTGGTTCGACATCAGCTTCAACCACCTCTGAAGCGTCGAATGGAGTCAGAACTCCCCTCTTTGTCTAAATGCAGCCTTATCAAGGTTGCCGTTTTAGAAATGCTCTCCTTTTCTCTTTTGCAGGTACCACGTGATCCACCGGGACATCTACAAGTGGTTCGACATCAGCTTCGACCACTTCGGGCGCACCTCCACCCCCCAACAAACCGACATTGCGCAGGCTATCTTCCGGTCACTCCTCGACCAGAACCGACTGATCGAAGACTCCATGGAGCAGCTCTACTGTGACCTGGACCAGAAGTTTCTTGCGGACCGGTTCGTGGAGGGCACGTGTCCAAACTGTCAGTACGAAGACGCGCGCGGGGATCAGTGCGACAAGTGCGGGAAGCTGCTGAATCCGACGGACCTGATCAGCCCGCGCTGCAAGGTATGAATTTTACTTGTTTCTAAAGCTTCGCTTCTCGGGTTATTTCTGCTTTTCTTGCTTTCTTTTGCTCGTACACCTGACCTGTGAGTATGAAGACCCGCGGGGTGACCAGTGCGATACACCACCGGGGAGCTGCTGAACCCGACGGACATGATCAACCCGTGTTGTAAGGTGAGGGGATTGCTCAATTCTAGATCTTTCCGAATCTCTTCTGTTCCTGTTCCTTCTTGCTTCGTTCGCTCCCACGCTCAGATTATAAGTATAAAGAAGCACGGGACGCCGACAAGTGCCGGAAGCTACTGAACCCGACGGACCTGATCAACCCACGGTGCAAGGTGAGGGGATTGCTCGTGTTCAAAGCTCCGAACTCTCTGTTATTCTTGGTCTTTCTTGCTTCGTTCACTCGTGCGACCAGATTATTAGTATGAAGACGCGCGCGGAGATTAGTGCGACAGGTGCGGCAAGCTGCTGAACCCGACGGACCTGACCCGCGCTGCAAGGTCAGGGGATTACTTAGTCTTGCTTCCAAAATCTCAGCCTGCTTTGTAAATTTGTTCTTTCCAGCTGTTTCTACTCGTTTGCCATCGATGTTTACTCATTTCGTTTAGAGTCCACGTGCTCAATGCTGTGCATCAACCGGGGTCACAGGGACTCTGAAAGACAGGAAGACAAGAAGACAAAAAGTATACTCGAACATTTTGAAGCTCCAAAAGCAGCCCCCTTCTCTCCAGATTTGCGGAACAACCCCTCGTATCCGATCTACCGAGCACCTTTTCCTGGATCTCCCAACCCGGAGACCCCAGCAAGAAGAGTAAATAAACTGCTCGTCACTTCAGAAAAGGCACTCGACTGGAGCACCCCCAAGATCTCCGTAAGCAGACTCATATCGACTCCCATCTTCTGCAGATCTGCGGGACGACGCCTCGCATCCGCTCCACCGAGCACCTTTTCCTGGACCTTCCAACCCTCAAGCCCCAGCTCGAAGATTACATCAACGCCACGTCGGGAGTCGGGGAATGGAGCGCCAACAGCATCGCAACCACGGGTTCGTGGATCCGAGACGGGCTGAAACCGCGGTGCATCACGCGGGACCTCAAGTGGGGGGTACCAGTCCCACTGGAAAAGTTCAAGGACAAGGTGAGCTCTTGAGTCAATAGTGCTCATAAGTATTTCCGTCCAGTGGGTTTCTCTCGCGTTTCCAATTTTCCAAACCTTGAGGCAACAAAATCGCAACTGCGAGGTCGTGAATTTGGGACGTGCTAACCCACGGTGCACCATGCAAGATCTCAAGTGGGGGTGCCGGTATCGCTAGAGATATTCAAGGGCAAGGTTTGCCCTGTCTCGTGTTCGCTGACTCGTTCTTGCTTGCAAAGCGGGCTTCCCAACTTCGATTCTGGATTTGAAAGCGCCCCCGCAAAAGGGCCCCGACCCCAAGCTCAAGCGTGGTCGATGAGGCTCTTCAAAGCTCGTCGACCTTGGGTTGTTTGCTATGGAGCATCGGCACAGTTGTTCGTGCTCTCTCGCTTGCCCGGCACTCCTCAGAGTAGTCTATCGTCAGGGCCTTCGAAATATGTTCGTTCTTCTTATCAGAGTCCAAACCTTTTCTGTTTCTTCGGCATACTTTTCGCGTCCTGCTCCGTCTGTGGATATAAACGGTTCTGATTACGACGTAGAATAAGCCATGGGATTGTGCTGCTCGCGTCTCCAACGGCGTGTTGCGTGTCTTGTCCGGAAAAAGAATTTTGAGAGTTTACGTGGATACCTGCAGGTGAGTCACGTGTGGTTCGAGTCCCGGTCGGGTATACCAGCATTACGGCCAACTACCAGGCTCCTTGCACGACTGATAGCACCGGGCACCCGGCAGAATCACCCCCTTAACCCGTATTCTTCACGTTGCCATCACTGATAAGAAGTTGAACTTTGCTTTGGTGGTCGGTTGCAGGTATTTTACGTCCGGTTCCACGCCTTAAGCCGTTACATCGGCATCACGGCCGACTACACAGGTGCATTATGAATTGTGCAGTCTTACCGGACAGACTGACAAGTTTGCTCGTTTGTCGTATGCAGGTGTTCTACGTGTGGTTCGACGCCCCGATTGGGTACATTAGCATCACGGCCAACTACACGGACTCCTGGAAGGAGTGGTGGCACAGCCCAAAAGATGTGGAGCTGGTGCAGTTTATGGGGAAAGACAACGTGCCATTCCACACGGTAAGATTTACATTCTTGAATCGTTTGCGTAAGTACTAGCTGTCAAGAGGTTTAGTCAGAAGTTTCGGCCGAAGAACTGGTGATACAGCCCCAAGGATGTGGAGCTGGTGCAGTTCATAGGGAAAGACAACGTGCCTTTTCACAGAGTAAGATTTGCCTTTTCGAAACCTCGTTTTGCTTAGGTACTACCAGGCTTTGGAGGTAAAGCCTTCATCCAGCCGCTTTGGCAGAAGGAGTGGCGGCACAGCCGAAAGGACTTCGCTTCTACAGTGCATGGGAAAAGACGACGTGCCTCTTTTCCCGGTAAATTTGCATTTCACAATAGTGCAGCGCACTAGGTTTTGATAACTAGAGCTTTACCCGTGAGGAAGAGAGTCCGAGGGAGGAATTGGTGGTACAGCGTCAAGGGGCGTAGCTTGTGCAATTTTTAAGAAGAGAAGGGCAACCTCCGTTTCCACGGTAAGGAAGAATTGCATGAAACAGATTCCTTTGACGGCAAATGTACAATTGTTTTGAATGTTAATGTTGACATGCACTAGCGGAGCCTGCGCCGCTCACCCGTCGAATAGCTTTCTTGTGATCCCCAATGGTTTGTGCAGCCAGTACTGCACGAACACGGCGGATTTGTTTTCAGTCTAAATGACAATCACCCTTCCTTCCTTGGATAGGCAAGAATGAGCAAGTCCTGTGCGTTATGGAGTCCCTTGGAGGAGACGTTTTTGTTGCTTCTGAAGAAAGGGACGATTCTGAACGCGTACAATTACTGAAATATCAAGCTTGATTCTTGCCCACAGTCAAGCCCGTCGACTCTGCTGGCCTTCGCGGAGCTCTGAGACGACGCTTTCATAGACGACACGTTTTTGGAAATCATTATAAACAGACGGAAAGTTTCGAGAGGCAAAAGGAAGTTCCGAGAGCCAGACGGAAGTTTTAGGTTACGCCTAACGAGCCTCATTTGTCTACCTCCAGTGATATCCCCGTCCACTCTGGTTGGCACCGCCGAACCCTGAACCCTCATGAAAACCATTCTTGTGAATACCTCAACTATGAAGGGTCAGCAAAGCCTTCGCAGCCCAAGGTGAATAGCGGATCTCATGCGTTTTCGAGAACTGATTTCACTCTCTGACGTCACAGGTGATCTTCCCGTCCACTCTGCTTGGCACCGCCGAACCCTGGACCCTCATGAAGACCATCTCCGTGACCGAGTACCTGAACTACGAAGACGGCAAATTCTCCAAAAGCCGAGGTGTCGGCGTGTTTGGAAACGACGCGCAGTCGACGGGGGTGCCATCGGAAGTGTGGCGGTACTATCTCCTGGTCAATCGGCCGGAGGTAAGGGCTATGCTGCTTGCTTTCCTCGCTTGTACCTCATCTGAGTCTTGCTCTGGCATCTGATTCTAAGTATGTGACGTCATCTTCATCGGCTTCTCACAACGTGAAGTAAGCATTTTTGCATCGTGCACGGGCCTGTTCGTGACAGCCCAGGCGTGTCTTTGTGAAGTAAGCTCTTTCTAGCCGTCAAAGGTAGACACTTTCGGCGCCTCGAGGCCTACCGGTGAAATTTGAAAACCTCCCCTCACGGACGTCTCAGAGCAGTCGTTTTACGGTATGAACCACGCTGCTTTCAGATGTCTCATTCAATATACTTGGAGAGCGACTTGCAAGCAGAGCTTGAGAAGCAGTTTTTGGCGCCTCGGTGGGAGACCCGTGAGCTGGCGCTCGGCTTTGGTCTTCTTACCAGTCCGAGCCGTACCACAATCACGTCCGACGCCTTCTTTCGGGTGTTATCACGATCGTTTCTGGAATGACTCATGCGACCCAATGTTCACGGCGAATGTCTGGCAAAGGTTGAGGTTATTACATGACGCCCCTGTAATTACTGGTTAACCACTGCTAACATAATCGAACTCCGCATGAAGACCAGCTTTCCTCCTCTTAGGTCTCTAACACGATCCTCACTCTGCGCGATCTTTGAGCAACTTAAATTGAGAAGCCCTCGAACCTCCTCAATTAGACGCCCGTTGGTCCTATTTGAACCCGAACAAGGTCAATTGTGCCGAACTGACTTATGCTTCCATCCCACCAGGTCTCTGACACGGTCTTCATGTGGAGCGACTTGCAAGCCAAGACCAACGGCGAACTCCTCGCAAACCTCGGCAACTTCGTCAACCGGGCTCTAGATCTCGCAGTCTAGTTAAAGAGCAGAGACAAGACCAAAGTAAATCGAACATTGTCAACAACAAAATGTGACACATACCGCTTTCAGGTTTCCGATACCGTCTTCATGTGGAGCGACTTGCAAGCCAAGACCAACGGCGAACTCCTCGCAAACCTCGGCAACTTCGTCAACCGGGCGCTCAAGTTCCTGGCTGACCGGCTGGACGCGACGATCCCCGAGGCGAAGGCGGCAGCGTCGAACGCGGCGGTGGTCGCACTCGGGAAAGAGGTCCAGGACAACGTCAGGGAGTACGTCAGCAAGCTGGAGAAGGTGGGATCGGATGCGACGGTCTCTTTTGTGCATTTAGCAGGTCATTGAATCAGCAGGTCGTTGAATCGTTTCTAATCCTCAGAACCAAGTTATATGAGCCAATGACATACATGGACGACCTGCTGATCCGTTCAGATAAGTATATTCTTGCACCAGCATTCAAGCCGCTTCAAAGGACTACCTTTGGAAATTTGCAGCGTGTCTATTACAATATCTTGTCGTTGAAATTTGGGAGTGAACAGATTGGTTCTGGCGCTGCTTCAGGAGAGAATACGTCCGCTCTCGCCTGGCGTTGGTTGACGACGTGCTGAAAGTTGCGCGATTCATTTGTCACTTTGATCTTTAGCAATATCATTTAAGGTGGCTGCTTCAAGCCGTAAGAGCAAAGTTGAAGGACGGCCTAAAGTCTGTTATCGAACTGCCTTTAGGGCAACGACATCCTCCTCCATTTTCGAATCCAATTCCAGTTTGTCTTGGACAGTGATTCTGGCAGAGAAAGTCAAAACGACTGCTTGTTACTGTGCAGGCGGTCAGATTTCTCAGCACCTTCGTAAATAACACCCTGTGCTGTGTAGTTTCGTTCAATTCGATCAGGGAAGCTTAGAGTGCTGACCTCGTCTTTAACTCAAGCCTGTCGGTTTTTCTCACGCAGGCGAAGCTGAAGGACGGACTCAAGATTGCAATGAATATCTCCGCACTGGGCAACAAGTTCTTCCAGGACAACAAGCCGTGGGTTCTGCTCAAAGAAGATAAGCCCGCCTGCGAAGACATCGTTGCGACGGCAGTGGGGCTCGTGCGGCTACTGGCCACGCTCCTGGAGCCATACATGCCCGCATTCGCGCATAAGGTGAGGGCCAATCACGTCTGCCCACGTTTCCGAAGACACCACAATCTCATTGATTAGTAAAAGCTAGTGCGGCTTTTGGTGACACTCCTGGAGCCGTACAAGCCCGCTTGTGCACACAAGCTAAGAGACGACCAGGTTTTGCCATGTGACCTAAGTCGCTAAGGTTTGAACGATCAGTAAGCCGCGTGCGGCTGCTAGCGCGACGCTCCTGGAGTCATACATGCCCGCTTTCGTGCACAAGGTGAGGGCCAATCAATTGATGCCACGTGGCCTTCGTAAAGAGAAATCATGTGAGCAGTAGAGCTCATGTAACTGCCAGCGACACACCTGGAACTGCATGTGCCTGCGTTTCCTGTCAAAGTAAAGGGCCAGCCACTTTTTGCCACGTTTTTATGCCCCCGCAACGCCTTCGAGGAGGGAAGGTCAAGGGTCCTATAGATTGAATTGGAGCAACTGCGCTGTGATAGTTTCGCATTTGCCGACTATCCCATTTCCCTCTTGGGCTGCCGACGGGGTTTGAACCAGCTGAATAGTGTCGCCAAGCTCCTTGTCGCAGACCGAATACGACATTGACTTCATGCTGACGTCAGGACGGATGCCTTTCCTCTTGCAGGTCCTGAAGCAGCTGAACCTGCCGCCGAGCTCTTTGTCGCTGACGGACGCTGACGTGGAGCTAACGTCAGAGTTGTGGAAGCTGGTTCCCGCCGGGCACAAGATCGGAGCGCCCGAGCCTCTCTTCCGCGAGATGGTAAGTTTTGGGGAATTTCTTGAGCCACCGCGCTCTACGATTCAAAGAGTGTTGGGCTCGCAAGCATCTTTTTCGATTGGACGGGTCCCAAACCTGGATCGAGGTTATCGACCCCCATTGACGGCGGGTAGGAGAAGATCCGCTTTGAGTCTTGTTCCTCTTCTAAATGGTGTACCCTTTCCGCGGTCCGAAGAAGGCTTCAGAGATCATATCGGTCGCCAGCTCGGAACTCCAAGGCGCCACACCGTCCGTCTGATACCCGGATTGTTGAGAATTTGCGAGATTAAGGGGTTGGCTAGTGATAAGTTAGTAGTCACTTTGAATATTCCGCACACCAGCTAGCGTCCATCTTGATCAGGTCATTGCCCCTTGTTGACCCAGGCGATGTCCATTCGACTCTCGTCCGAAACGGGCAAGGAACTTCTGACAACATTGACGCTGTAGAACACTGCAATTGAAAGCTCAAGTCGAACCCTCGACTCGTGCTGAAAGCTTGCCAGTTCTTTCGCAGTCGAATGAAGAAGTCGCAGCCAACAAGCTGAAATTCGCGGGGAGCCAAGCGGACCGGAAAGCAGCCGAAAGCGCAGCCACAGCGTCGGCAGCATCCGGAGCGTCGTCAGGTGAGTGTCTTTTGCCACACTCTGAGCAATTTCTACCATTCTCTGAGCTTTTCCACCAGGTTCTGGGCTTTT